GGTTTCTCATTATGTCAATTTGCTGCCCCTGGGCTTCTCATTGAAGGTGTAGCAGGGCACTGAGGTTGTTGGGAAATGTCCTGGAAAGGACTTTGTGGAGCACCTATATAAGTCCAGGATGATATTAGGGAATATTTAAGGGAAGAGGTTTAGAGCAGCTGGGCAGTAGAGGTGCTCATTCCTGTAGACCCTGTCCCATATCCCCCGGATGACTGTCCCAGTGTGTGAGGCACCCACGTGTCTGTGGTGGTTTTGCATGCCCCAGAATTATTCATTGGTGGTTCCCCAGCCCACTCACCTTAGTCCACACATCTCAGGGTAGGGGATAGACATGTCCCCTATAAAGTGACATCCCTGGTGATGGCTCCCTTCACTGGGAACACCAGCAGTACAGGTGACAACCAGGAGGTGAGATGCTGAGACCAGACCTTGCCCCGTCTCTTGGGCTGCCCCTTCAGCTGGGCAGCTTAGGGCTCCATGAGCACAGCAAGGGATGGAGCCAGAGGGTGGTTTTGCCTCTACTGAGCAGAACTGAGGCCCACCACATGTAACCCTCAGAACCAAGCGGAGGGGATTCCTTCTGCTCCAGAGAGTCCTCAGGAGGGTGTCACCCAGCCCTCTGGATGTGATGCTCCAGGGTGGGTATTTCTGCTAAATCTGAAGAAGCTGAGGAGCGGTCCCGTGTTGCATGTGTGTTCTCAGGCAGACAGCATGGACAGCCTCAGGGGTGAGTGGTATCAGGAGTGGCAGACTGGGGAGCCAGTTGCCCCCAGGGGGCTGTGTCAAGAAGAGGGACTTTGGGGCACCATGGGACACCAAGATGGGTGGGTTAATGAAAGGGGAGAGGGGTGCCATCAAGTGCCCCTTGGGGTGGCTGGCAGAGGCGGTGGGAGGAACCTGCTATTGCAGCTGGAAATGAAATGCATTTTCCCTGCCTTCCCATCCTCTTCTGTCCTCTTCCAGATCTCCGCCTGCAGCTGCTGGATGTGAAGAACAACCCCTACCTGATCAAGGCTCTCTATGGCCTGCTGATGCTGCTGCCCCAGAGCAGCGCCTTCCAGCTCCTCTCCCATCGCCTCCAGTGCGTGCCCAACCCAGAGCTCATGCAGACCACGTAAGTGCTGGGGGGATGGACCAGCATCAGCATCAGGGCTGGATCAGCTGTTCCCCACAGCTGAGCATCCCTGCCATTCCAGGCTCAGCCCCGATCCCGGGCTCAGCCCCATGCTCTGCCTTCCACCCCCCAGCTCCGCTGCGGCCGTGGCTGCTCCTTGTCCCCATGGCCGGGAGTGTTGGCCAGGGGGGTTTTTTGTGTCTATATTTGGTAACCCTGGGAGGGCTGTGCCTCATCCACAGGCATTTGGCATCCGGGATGGAAAATTTCACTTGTGGGGTCGCTATGGAAACGAGCAGAGCTGGGAAGGAGGTTTATGGAGAAAGACTACAGCAGCTGGGGGGGGGCTCCCAAAGCATCCCCCCTGCAGCCTGGACAGCCTTCACAGCACCCAAAAGGATCCTGGCACCCTGCTAATGCCTCCGGATGGCTGCTCCATTCCCACTCCTGGCCATTGGGGATCCGTGAGATGTGCAACGGCGGCATCTCCCTGGGGACCAGCTGAGATCCTCGTGCTCCCTGCCCAGGGGTGCTGCCAGTGGGATTTGCTTTCCAACCCTTGGCTAATGAGTAGTGGAGGGGCTCGATGATAAAGCTGGCTGTGCCTTGGCGCAGTCCTGGGAACAAAAAGAGCTCCCAAGATGGGCAGGTTTCTGAATTAACCCCCTGCTGCTGTTGTCGCTCCTTGGCTTTTAACTGCTTCCCTGGGATGGCTTTTATCCCTCATGGCCTCCGGCACTGAGCTCCTACCCACAAACCAGCACTGATATTTAATTGGGGGGGCGGAGAGGGGGCTGCTTGTGCTTCCCCCTCCTTTTTTCCCCCCACTAACCCTGGCAGTGGGGGTTTTTCGAGCTGTCAGACAGCCTGAGCATCTGATTAACTCTGACCTACATTCCTTCAAACACCGAAGCCGGCTTTCATAACCGGCCAGTCCCAGCTGCCCCCTCCCCAGGGACATACCAGGGCCACCAGAGCTGCCTGCCATCTTCCCATGGGCATCCTGTGGCTGGTGTCTGCTCCTTCCTTGCATAGGGACAGCACAGGGATGAGTATCCATGGCTGGAACCCTAGGGAGCCTGCATTTGGAGGCTCCAGCCATGGGTGCTCATCCCTGAGGAGTGTCACTGCTGCCACTGGATGTTTTTTGCTCACTCAAAGAAGCAGACGTGGAAGCTGAGGCATATGGCCCTGACATCCTTATCTCACTGCTTTTGACTGCAATGGCTTGGGATAGAGAGGAGTATGTGTCAGAGGAGTTAAACCTCCCATGTGGGGCCAAGATGCAGATGTCCCTTGTCCCCTCCTTGTCCCAGGACCTCTTGGGCTCTATCTCACACCCTTAAAGGAAGAAAATATGTCTTTGGGGGTATTTTATGAGGCACCAGCATGACTAGGATTTGCTGAGCTCAGCTTCTTCAGGACAAGGTTTTGGTACTGCCAGTGCTGGATGCTCACAGCATCTCTTCCCACCCTGCAGGGACAGCACCAAGCCCAGCACCAGCTTGAAGAGAACAGCAGCCTCCAACATCGACTACACGGAGCTGCTGCAGCACTTTGAGAAGGTCCAAAACAAGCACCTGGAAGCACGACACCAGCGAGCCGGGCGGGCAGAGCAGCTGGACCGGCGCGTGGTCCTCTGAGCACCCCTGGCCCCGTGGGTGTGCAGAGTTGCTGGGGCAGGGACCAGGGACACAGACCAGGGAACAGGCACACCGGTTGCTGGCCACCAGAGGATTTGGTGGGTTTAATGGAGATGGGCAAGCACTCAACACAGGGCTGTCCCCTCTGTGTGTGTGGATGAGGGGGGACCCTCAGGCTGTGCCCAGCTTTTCCTGTGGGTGCTGGGGGGACATGGGGAAGGGTTGCCCAAGGAGAGGGCCGAGGTAAAGCACCTCGTCTTCTCTTGCAATGGGGCGAGGGAACTCCCCTTTGCTTTGCTAATGCCTTTCCCGTGACTGTCAGCTGAGCGCCCAGCCTGCTGCCAGCAGCACCGGAGGAGGGGAAGGGAAGACGGGAGCAAGCCCTGGCCTTCCGCCCTGGAAAACAAGCACACGGGGCCGCCAGCCACCTCCCACCACCCTGACTTCCACCCTCTGGTTCCGAGGCCCTGCTGGAGGTGGCATCTCACTTGGGGAGACACTTCTGTGCCCGACACTTGGCCCCCTCCCTGCATTCACACATCCTCTCCGAGTCCCCGGCTCTTGGCAGGGAAAACTGCACAGCTTCAACTCCCAGCCAGCACTAGGGGACATGGGGAGCAGTGGACCTAACCCCAGACTCCATTCCTTGTTTCTTCATTAAGCTCCCCGTGATAAAATAAACAAGCAATGCAGAACAGCCCATTCCTTGTTGCTGGGCTTCCCATCATAATTTGTTCCAAGTGCAGCCAAAAACACAGCAAGGGCAGGGGATGGCATGGAGCGTCTTGCTTGACCCTGTGCCCTGGGCTGGCCCAGCCCTGCCACGTTGGCTTGCCAGCAAGCAGAACTTCTCCGCCTGCTCTTCTTCCCAGCAGGAAAAAAACACCACTGAAATTCTTCCAGGCCACGGTCACGAAACCACAGCACAGTGACAGGCATTTTCCTGGCCCTGAGCAGCCGCCGGTGTTGCCTTCATCCTGTCCTGTGGCACTGAAGGACCCCAGCATGTGCCAGGCTGCTGCAGTTTGGGGGGGACACCGTTGCATCCCCTGCATGTTTCAGGCCCTCGCTTGATCCCAGGAAAATGGGATCTGGAGGAATTTGTGGAGTTTTTATGGCTTCTGGCCTGTTTACAGGGAAGACTGTCTCTGGCAGTGGGTTCCCCAAGCAGCCCCATACCAGCGCTGCTTTGGCCAGGATAAAGACATTCCTGTCATTCCCGGGGAAGGGCTTTCCAGACCCAGTCACGGCAGGTTAATTTTAACAGCCAGCCCTGGAGGATGTGTGAGCAGTGACTTCTCGAGCCAGCTGGTGTCACGGGGTGTTGGGGGGTACCTGTTGATGGACCCCTGGGTCGTTATCAGGGTGGGCTCCGCCTCACTCCTGCCGAGCTCATTGCTGCTGAGCAGCCTCTTTCCACACTGAGGGACTGGGTTTATGGAGAGAAATTCCAGCCGGCTGCTGGAGTACTGAGCCATAATTGTTTCCTTATGGCTCTTGACCAACACCATCCAGAGCAGTGTGGGCATCATCAGCATGGGATCAAGACTACTTTTCTGGCAGGAGGGGGAATAGGTGGCTCAGGCTGAAACCCTTGCCCAGCTGAGTGTCATTGCACTGTGAGGGGTAGGAAGGTTTGTCGGGGCTCAGCCTGGCAGCCCCAGATCTCGGGAGGCTGGGGCTGGGGCCTCGGGATGCCTGTGGGAAGGGTTTGTCTGCTGGCAGGCCATGCATTTCCCATGGCTCCCTGATAATCGAGTGCACGGACACATTTCAGAGCTGTCGTGTAACTACTGCGGAGGGACTTCGCCCTCCAGCACATCATGGAGGGTCAGGAAGGCAATGGGGGTCAAACGCCCTTTGGGGAGAGGCAGCATCCCCCTGGTGCCTCCAGAGGTCTGGGAATGCCCCCGGATATCCTATGGCATCTCCAAGTGCAGTGTTTCACATACTCCCTGGGGCTCTCCTGCTATCCCCCAAGATAATCCCTGGGGGTTCCTACGCCGCCACGGAAGCAAACCCCCACCAGTGCCACATCTCCAGGCATCCCTCGGGTGTCCCTCCTGCAGTCCTGGGGCACACGGCGCTGCTCCCTGACCCCCTTCCCCCCATCGAGCGCATCCCCGAGAACCACCGGGGCTGCCGCCTGCCCTCCGCTCCGCCATCCCCGCGCGTCCTCCCGGAGCATCCCCGGGGCTGACCCCGATGGTCGCCGCAGCCCCCGGCCCCGCGGCGGGCGGCGCACGCTGAGCCTGGCCCGCCGCCGCGGCCTCCCCCGGCGGCGCCGCCCGCCCCGGGCTGCCGCAGCGCCGCGATGGAGACGGCGGAGAAGGAGTGCGGAGCCCTCGGCGGCCTCTTCCAAGCCATCATCAACGACATGAAGGTAGGGGATTCCCCCCCGCCCCACCCCGCGCCCCGGTTTTGCTGTCGTGACAGCGCTCCCCCCGCGCCATCCCCGCAGCGCCCGGCTGCCCCCGCGGTGCCCGTCCCGCCGTGGGTACCGGGGCTCTGCTCCCCAGCCGCGAGATGGGGATTGGAACTCCGCGTCGGGTGTCGGAGCCGATATCAGCCCCACAGCGAGTGTCGGGGTCCCACATCGGCTGTCAGAGCCCGGCACGGGTTCCCAGAGCCTCACATCAGCCCCTGACTGGGCATCGGAGCTCTGTGTTGGCATCAGAGCCCTGGAGAGCGCAGCCCCCCATCATCTCTGTATCCAGCGCTGGATATTGGAGCTCCATCCTGGGGATTGCAGCCCCACATCATCCCCAGATCCGTCGCTGGCTATCGGAGCCCCGTTCTGGGTGTTGCAGCCCTGTTATCCTTCACTGGGTATCAGAGCACCATGTCGGGCATCAAGGTCTCACACTGGGTGTCAGAGCGTGGCACTGGGTGCCAGAGCCCCACATCAACCCCATAATAAGCCTTGGGGCCCTGCGTTGGGCATTGGAGCCCATACTGGGGATCCTGGCTCCATATCAGCCCTGTATCCATGCCCAGGTGCCCGAGCCCCTTGTCGGGTGACACAGACCAGGCATCACTGCCCCTCGCCAGGTACCACTGGCCCCACACCGGGCATTGCCACCCACTTCAGGCATCATGTTGTCCCTGTCCCCCCTGCCCCATGCCCAGCCTGGATTTCTGTCAGACCCAGTGGGGCTGGCACCAGTGGAACAAAAAGGTCCCCCAGCTCCTTGATCCCATTTCCTAACCCGGGAAGAGGATATTGCCTCCACCCTCCCTGGGAGCAGGATGGGGCCATGTTTAAAAAAACCTTTTTGTTTGTTTGTTTTCATTTCAAAAAAATAAACTAAAAATGCTGGGGGGCATTTCTGACCAGAGGCTGAGCGGGGAGGAGGGGACCAGCCATATTCCTTCATCCTGGGGGACCAAAATTCCCACAGCCAGCTCCAGCGCTGGGGTTTAGCCCTAGTCATTTTTGGGAGGCAAATGCTCTCTTCCTCCTCCTCCTCCTCCTCCTCTTCCTCTCTTCATGCTGCAGACCAGTCCAGACAATGCTGTCATTGCCAAAGCAGGGGAGGGGGGATAAAAAAAAATAAAAGCCTTGCTGGGAAGGAGATTAACCCCTTCGAGGGGCAGTGGTGGCTCTGCAGCCGGACTCTGGCTCAGGGCTGGGAGAAAAGCTCCAGGGAGAAAATCCCAACTCTCCCCAGGGCAGAGGGATCCAGGGCTGGTGCAAAACTGAGCTGGGGTGATCAGCTCCCTCCCCCAAACGCCTTCACCCCAGGCAGCCCAGCTGAGTCCTAAACTCCTGGGGGGAGGCAGGGCAGCCCCTGCCTCAGTTTCCCCATTCCCCTGCTGAGGCTTCAGAGAGGATAAGCCAGCCCAGAGCTGTCACCTCCCAGGGACATGCCCAGCACCATCCGGATGTGGTTGGACTGGGAACCCCTCACCCGAGGAGACCGGGCTGGAGTCAGTTTCATGTCATTTGAAGCTAGAAAAGATTAAAGAAAAATGAGGAAAAAGGAGGAAATTGCCGCCACACTGCAGCTGGGCCTCAGCTCGTGCCCTGCACAGCCCCGGCCGAGTGCCAGTGGCACCTGAGGGTGTGCTGTCCCCAGCTCCCAGCCATGTGGGTGTCCTGGCACGGGCCCTGGGGGACAAGTAACTCTCTGCTTGAAGGACTGCTGGCATTGAAGGGCAGTGATGTGCTTATGGTCCTATGGCTGGGACCCCTGTGCTGGTCACAGGGCAAAGGGACCTTATTTTGGTGGTGGATGGCTATTTCAGCACCCCTTGGCCTGTGGTGGGGAGAATTTGTTTGTTGGTGACAGTCCCTAAGCTGGCTTCATTCCTGTTGCCTCTCCTCGTGTGCTCAGTGTCCCTGAGTGACCTTGGCATGTCCTTGTGCCCATTGTCCTCTTCCCCATCCTCCTCATGCCTGGCATCACAGGGGTTTGGGGGCATCACAGCCTGCTCCTTTCTACAGGGGAGCCTCACTTGCCCTGCCCAGGGTGGCCAAGGAAGGTGGCCCAGAGCCAGTGGCCCAGGAATGGTGGCCCAGTCCTCTGGCAATGACAGTCCCTGGGGACCCACAAGGAGGGAATCACTGCCACAAGTGTGAAGTGGCACCCTTAAACTCTTTCTTTGCTGACTCATGAGGAAATAGGGGCTTTCAGGGTCCCAGAAAATGCTGGGCTGGTCTCATGCCCCCTCAGTGCAAACCCTCTCCCCAAAGCTGCCACCAAGCCATAGTGCAGATGGGGATGTGTAGCAATGTACATGTCCCAGCCTGGTGGCTGCCCGGGGGGAGTTTACAGATGCCTGTCACTGCCATCAGATGGTGACATCAGGATAGCACTGGGATTTTGTCACTGGGACAGCAGGACCAGGATTGACCTTGCTAGGATAGCAGCACCAGCATGGCTTCACCAGGATGATGACACCAGGACTGGCCCGACTGGAATGGCTTTGCTGGGATAGTAGCACTGGGACCAGCTTCACTGGAACTGCATTGGAATGGCCTTGCCAGGATGGTGGCACCTGGATAGCTTCGCTGGAATGATGGCACTGGTACTGGCCATGCAGGGGTGACACCGGGATGGCCTTGTCGAGACAGCACCAGGATTAATCTCACCAGGACAACATGGACTGGCCTTGCTGGGATGGTGACACTGGGATAGCCTGGCTGTATGGTGGATCGGGATCAGCCTTGTTGTGATGGCACCAGGATGGCCTTGCTGGGATGGCACTGCAGCTGGCATTACCGGGAGAGTCCTCACTGGAATGGCACCAGCATGGTCTACTGGGACTGGCTTCACTGGGAAACAGTGACACTGGGATGGCCTTGCTGGGATGGTGGCAGCAGCACAGCCCTGGGATGGCCTCACTGGGACAGTGGCACTGGAAGTGCCCTTGCATGACTTCACTGGAATGGTTGCACCAGGACAGCCCTGGAATAGCCTCAGCAGAAGGGCAGTGGGGATGGCCTGCACAGATGGCCTTGCCAGGAGTGGTCTCATTGGCACAGCACTGGGGTGGCCTCCCAAGCACCTGTGCCCTGTCCCTGTCCCCACACAACTGCCCCATTCAGGGCTTCAGGGACCCCAACCTGCCCTGTCGGTCCCTGGGCTCAGGGGAGGTGAGGACTGGGGCTCCCCTTTGTGGGACTGGAGCTCTCCATGATGGTGGGTTTGGCCATCAGTGCTTTGGGGGAAAGCTGCTGCTGGATGTGTCTCCTCTACTGCTGGCCAGTCTTAAAGATTTTTCATTTCATGCCCTCAATGAGGAAGAAATCACTCAAAATCCTGAGGTCTCCATGGTCTTTAAATTTGGGTGGCCAGACTAGAAAGGGAAAAAATCAGGAGGGAAGAGAGTTGTGCTCAGCCTTTATTAGCCATCAGAGAAGCTACTGAGCTGCCCTGTCTCTGCACCAGTGAAGGAGGGACCTGCCCTGACTGGGGAAGCAGTGCAGGGGGTGAGGGTCCCTGTCTCTCACCATCACCCTTCCTCCTTGCAGAGCTCCTACCCCATATGGGAGGATTTCAACTCGAAGGCCACCAAGCTGCACTCCCAGCTCAGGTGAGTGGCCAGAGGTGGGGTGGGACATGGGGTACCCCCTCCTCACTGGCACATCCCAGGTGTCCTGCGCCCACTGAGCTCCCCCCTCGCTCTCTCTGCCTCAGGACCACGGTGCTGGCCGCAGTTGCCTTCCTGGATGCCTTCCAGAAAGTGGCTGACATGGCCACCAACACCCGAGGTAGGGTGCTCTCTCCTAGGGGTGGGCCCAGGCTTGTCTGGGCAGGGGGACAGGTGGGGTGTCCCCTGCCCACATTTCTGGGGTGCACTTCAAGCAGCAGCTTCACCATCCACAGGGAGATGTCCAGCCTCTCCACCAAGGTGGAGCATTCCCTGGGAAGCAGCGTTGGAAGGATGGAGTGGGGAGGGGGAAGGAGGTGGGCACCCATGTGGGTGCTGCTCCTCACCACCCGTGGGTGTTTAGCCACATTTTCTGGGACATTCAGGGTGGCTCAGCCCCACGTCAGTGTCTCCTGCCCCTCAGGATGCACAATCCACCTTCCTTGTCCCTGGCACCCATCTGGGAAGTTCCATGGGGGGTCCCGGCTGCTCCGGGGGTCTCCAGGCAAGGGGAATTAGCTAGAGGGAGATTCAGGAGTCCGAGCTTCACTGTTTTGGGGACAAACCCTAACTCAGCAGGGAGATGACTGAAGAGCCAAGGCTGCCTGTGGGGTCCCCCTTACTGTTGGGGAGTGAGGGGAAGGATCCCCGGACCCTCTGCGGGTGCCCGCTGGCAAGGAGGAGCCACTTCCCACGGCTCGGCTTCTGCCAAGCAGATGGTCCCGGGCTGGTCCGCAGACTGCCGGCATCCAGGCCATCTGGAGCCACGCGAGGAGAGGAGGAGGAGGAGGCAGCAGCTTGAGCCAGGATCAGCTTTGCCTCCAAACCCACTAGCCCACTGCACCAGGGGGATTAGGGCTCCTCCAGCTCCCTGTCAGCCCGGGCAGTCAAAGCAAGGAGGAGGCACAGGAGCAATGCTGGGGACCAGCACCACAGGAGTCAGTGTCACCCTGTGGTGCTGCTGTACCTGCAGGGCTTTTTGGGAGGGCGGGCAGCAGCATGGGGAAACTGAGGCACTGGGTGGGGGCTGGCTGCTGGCCTTGCACACAGTGCATGAGAATCGGATTAGAAGCAGCAGGAGCAGGGATAAGAGCATTAGGAGCTGGATTAGGAGACTACCCCAGTGTAGGAGAAGACCATGGCCCATGGGTTCCCCTATTTCCATAGCACTGGGGGACTGAGGGACATCCAAAACTCCTGCAAAGGGGTGCGAGGTTTTTTTGGAGGCTTTTTCAGGGGAGAGAAAGGCTGAATGTCACTCCTTAGTTTGCACCCAAGGATTTTTGGTTTCCGTTTTCCGTGGGAATTGCCAGCAGCACTGCCACCATGTGGCCGTCCTTAGGCTTCAGTGTTAACAGCGGTTTCACCTGAAAAGGGTGCTCCTGCTGTCTGCTGCTGGCAAATATCCTCCCGAGAGATTTGAACTCCCTTTTTATCCACTCGGGATTGTGCCTGGAGGTGTGGAGCAGAGCTGACTGCCTGGAGCTAAGCCAGGGTACCTCATCACCTCCCTTCCCTGGCCCCCCAGCGCCAAATTTAAGACAAACCAGGAAAAAATGTGAACAGGTTCTAATTTCAAAGCCTCCAGAAGAGATATCTAGTGTTTCATGTATTAGTTAGTGGATTGTTATTTATTTATTTGTTTATTTTGTGGATTTATCATGGGGAAAAAACAAGCCACCTCCTTCCTAAACTGTCCCCAGTGCCCAGTGCATCCCAGCACTGATCGTGCCTCTCACGAGCCACCCTCCTCCCACTGTACAGACTGGGCTGGGACCGGTGTGGGGGTGTCCCTGTCCCTTGTCAGCAGCGCTTTGTCCCCACCAGGTGCCACGAGGGACATCGGCTCGGCGCTGACCCGGATGTGCATGCGGCACCGCAGCATCGAGGCCAAGCTCCGGCAGTTCACCAAGTAAGCAGCACCAGATCAGCTCTGCCTCCAAACCCACGGGCACTGGGCACACGGCCTGGCCAGGCTTGTTCCCTCGCTGAAGAAGGGGATGATGCTGGGTGCTGGCCTGGCATGGCATGGGGGAATGGCTCCCCCCTGGCTCCGGCGCTCTCCCACACTCTCTGCTTCTCTCTGCCTCCTCCAGTGCCCTCATGGAGAGCCTGATAAACCCTTTGCAGGACAGGATTGAGGACTGGAAGAAAACTGCCAATCAGCTGGACAAGGACCATGCGAAAGGTACGAGGGGGGCGGGATGGATCCGTGCAGGGTGGCTGCGCTGCTGGGCAGGGGTGCCCTCTGACAGCACTTCTGCACCCCCAGAGTACAAGCGAGCACGCCATGAGATCAAGAAAAAGTCCTCTGACACCCTCAAGCTCCAGAAAAAGGCTCGCAAAGGTGAGAGGGGGTCTCCCGGGGGGTGCCCTCACCAGCCCCTCCGCAGCACCCCCAGCCAGGGCCGGTATCCCGGCTGTGGCACTGCCAACCGGGGGGTGGGCACTAGGGGGGTCCTGCTGCCCCCCTGTAGAAAGGGAGGTGCCAGCATGGCCCCGGGGGTGGCGGGGAGGCGGGGCACGCGCCCCAGCCTTCGGCCTCTTTTCACACGTTTTCTCTGTCTCCTTCTCTCTTCCCTCCCCTCCACATCCTTCCTGTAGAGCTACTTGGTAAGTGAACCGCTGCCCCCCACCACCGGCCCCCTCTCTGCTTCCTCATCTACTTCCCCCAGTCTCCCCAGCCTCTGTCTGTCTGTCCGTCCATCCATCCGCTCCCTGTTCCCACCCTCACCCTGCTTTTAGCTTAGCTTAGCCTGCACCCCATGTCCTGAGGCGATGCCACACTCGCCGTGTGGCAGCCCAAGGGGTCCTCTGGTCCCAAGTGCCGGGGATGGGGTGTCAGAGAAGCCCCTGCCCAGGGCTGCTGTGGGGTGAGGGTGTTCCTGGACCTTCCAGGGAGAGGGGCAGAGTGGGAGACCTATGGTATGTGCTGGAGTGTGAGGATGGGGTGATGTCCCCAAGCTGGGGGAATGGCCTTGGCTTGGCAGTGGCACCACCAGCAGACTGGGGAGGGTGTCAGGGGAGCCCAGTGCTGACAGTGCCCCATCTCTCAGGGAAGGGGGACCTGCAGCCCCAGCTGGACAACGCGCTGCAGGATGTCAATGACATGTACCTGCTGCTGGAGGAGACGGAGAAGCAGGCAGTCCGCAAAGCCCTCATCGAGGAGCGGGGCCGTTTCTGCACCTTCATCACCTTCCTGCAGCCCGTGGTGGTGAGTGCTGGGCGCTGGGCGGGTGAGGGTGGTTCCTTCTGCCCAGTGGGTGCTGATGCTCTCTCTTGTCTGCTCTCAGAACGGGGAGCTCACCATGCTGGGAGAGATCACCCACCTGCAGGGCATCATCGAGGACCTGGTGGTGCTCACTGCTGAGCCCCACAAGTTGCCCCCCGCCAGTGAGCAGGTCAGCAGGGGGGAACCAGGGGTCAGGGGAGCAGGGGCTATCTTTGAGGGGACTGAGACCCCATCTTTCCTGCAGGTGATCAAGGACCTGAAGGGCTCTGACTACAGCTGGTCCTACCAGACGCCCCCATCCTCACCCAGCAGCTCCAGCTCCCGCAAGTCCAGCATGTGCAGGTATGGTGAGGTGGGCTCCACACCCAACCACAGCCAGGAAATCCAGCCCTCTTCGTTAACCTCAGTGGGTTAATGATGCTTACAGCCTTTGGGGATGCTCACAAGGTGCATGTCCACCTTCTCATGTCCGTATGGGCAGGTGGCTCCCATTATTATGGAGGAATTGTTCTTGGCACACTGGGCAGGGCTGGTGGACCTATGGGGCAGGATGGGGGCCTGACACATGCCCTGTCCTGGGGTCTGGGGATGATGTGTGCTGTGCATGGGTGTCTGGGAGCAGACACCACCTCTGTCATGTCCCCCAGCCTGTCCCCTGCCGCAGGGCCACCCCAGGAGGCAAAGGGACACCTCCAGGAGGACTACATGCCTCAGTTTCCCCAGGCTGGGATGTGTGGCAGGGCGCTGGCCATCCTGCCACCTCCGAACCTTTGTCTTAAATTCTCTTTTCCTTCCTTTGTCCTGCCCACCGGCGTGTCCCCGTCCCCCCGGCGCCCCCCCAGCAGCGTTAGCAGTGCCAAGGGTGGCATGGCGTGGCCCGGCGGGGCTCAGACCTGCTCACCCAGTTCCACCTATCGCTACCGCAGCCTGGCGCAGCCCCCCGCCGCCGCCACCCGCCTCTCCAGCGTCTCCTCCCACGACTCCGGCTTCATCTCCCAGGACGCCGCTTATTCCAAACCGCCTTCCCCCATGCCCTCGGACATCACCAGCCAGGTACAGGGAGGGTGCTCCGTGCTGCCAACCTCCACGCCTCGGTTTCCTCTGCCATAGAATGGGTGGGTGGTGCTGGGTGCAATGCAAGGGCCCAGTGCAGAGGTGATGAGACCCACCCTCAGAACTATTTCCATCCATTCTGGCATCACGGGAAATAAATATTGGGAATGTTGAGGGTGCCAGCCATAATTGTGGGCATCCTGGGCCACACAGCAGAGAAACCCTATCAATGAATTCCTCCAGGGATGAGGCACAGATATCCCTCTCCCTGTGCCAGGAGAACAGGGTGTTTCCCAGTCACCACAGCCCCATAGTACCCAGCTTGTGCTACCCACCAGGCAGCATGAAGCAAAGCTTCCCCTTCATGCTGCACCATCCCCAGTGCCAAGGATGCTTCAAGATCCTCAGGGAGTTGCCATTCCCACCTGTCCATGCTAACTTGGCATCATCAACCCAGCAAGGTCCCCTCTCCCCAAAATACCTCTTGGCTCTGCATGGCTTGGGGTGAGAAGGGGGAAAGGCTGGGGTAGTGTGTCATCCCGGTTCTTGACCCCGCTGCCAAGGTCGCATCCTCCTCACCATCCTGCAGGCACAGCCAGAGGGGAGGAGGGCTGGGGGCCTCGCCCAGCCAGGGAGCTGTGGGTGCTGCTCTAACCAGGGTCATGGCTCTGGCTTTGCTTGCTAACTGCCTCTTCTCTCACTTCCGGCTCTCGGCTCGTCACGGCTCAGCAGAAGTCCTCCAGCTCAGCGTCCTCAGAGGCATCCGAAACCTGCCAGTCAGTTAGCGAGTGCAGCTCCCCCACCTCGGTTAGTCCTTGCCATCCCACCAGGGCTCCATTTCACGCGTGGTCCCCCCTCACTTCATGGGGTTCAGCCCCCAGGCCCTCCCCTCCCTTCCTGCATGGGGCAGAGCATCCTGAGCAGCACCCGTGGCTTGACACGGGGGACATCAGCTTGAGACCTGCCGCGCTCCTGGTCCCAGTGTCACCAGCATGAACTGCATGCCTTGCCCATTGCAGGACTGGTCCAAGGCCAGCCCCTATGACCAGCCGGTGGTCCCTACCCTGCAGCGGCGCAAGGACCGCGTGGAGCACCTGCGGGAAGCCGAGATGGGCTCTCCTGCTGGGGGGTACCCGGGCATCGGAGCCGAGGACGCTCCCAGGCCCCGGATGTCACCGGCTACAATCGCTGCCAAGGTACCAGCTGTGGCAGGGAGGGCTCAGAGGTGGGGGCTCCTGGGGACTCCCAGAGGAGGAAGCAGGGTGCTGACAGTGCCCATTGCCTCAGCAGCATGGTGAGGAGGTGTCCCCTGCCGCCAGCGACCTGGCCATGGTCTTGACCCGTGGGCTGAGCTTGGAGCACCAGAAGAGCAGCCGGGACTCGCTGCAGTACTCCAGTGGCTACAGCACGCAGACCACCACCCCCTCCTGCTCTGAGGACACCATCCCTTCCCAAGGTACTGGCACCAGGGGTATCTGGGACCACCTGAAATAGCACTTAGAGTGGGGAAGGTCACAAGAGAGGTTTTGGTGATCCTGGGGCACAGCTGTATGCTCTGGGTGTCATAGCATCAGGCTACTGTGTAGGGGCTGGTGCCACAAATAACCACAGCTTTTCCTGGTGATTTGGGTGTTAGCTGGGGCTCAGTGGGTGCAGTTGTGCCAGGAAGTGCTGTTACGGGTGATGTGGTGATGTGTCTGTGCACAGAGGTTGAGTACACGTGGAGATGGTGGGTAGGTGATGGCAACAGAGTCTGTAGTTGGAGATCAAATAACCACATCTGTTATGATGTTGGCGTGATGATGGCTGAGCCAGTTATGAACATGTGGTGGTGACAGTGGAGATTGGCTGTGATTGTGTGGTGATGGCTGTGATTGGGGTGGTTGTGATGGTGACACTTGGGTTTGGTTGTGATTTCAGTGTGGTGGCTGGGGTGACTGTGCTTTCCCTCCAGTGGTGAAGTTTGTGTTTGATGGTGAGCATGTTGTGCCAGCAGTGACTGGGACAGTAGTGGTTGTGTGACAATCATGGCAGTTGAATTTGGTTGTTGTTGTGCTGTGGTGGAAGTGGCTGGGGCTGGCTTTAAGGACATGGCTGAGCTTGGCTACTCCCTCCCTCCCCAGGCTCCGACTACGACTGCTACTCGGTGAACGGCGACGTGGAGTGCGACCCCCAGAGTGACTTCGACAAGTCCTCCACCATCCCACGCAACAGCAACATCGCCCAGAACTACCGGCGGATGATCCAGACCAAGCGTCCCGCCTCCACGGCCGGGCTGCCCAGCGGCTCCAACCTGCCGGCCGGCACCACCCCGGGGGTGGCCACCATCCGCCGCACGCCCTCCACCAAGCCCTCGGTCCGCCGCACGCTCTCCAACGCCGGCCCCATCCCCATCCGGCCCCCCATCGTCCCCGTGAAGACCCCCACGGTGCCCGACTCCCCTGGCTATGCCGGCCCTACGCGGGTGGGCAGCGAAGAGTGCGTCTTCTACGCTGACGATGCCTCTCCGAACCCCCTGGATTTTGCCAAAGCTTCGCCCAAGCGGCTGAGCCTTCCCAACACCGCCTGGGGTGGCGGTGCCATGGAGATCTCTGTCTACCCCGGCGCCGGCCAGCACCTCTCCGCTGAGGAAGAGGAGGACCAGCAGCTGGCTGCCAACCGGCACAGTTTGGTGGAGAAGATCGGGGAGCTGGTGGCCGGCGCCCACGCCCTGGGGGAAGGCCAGTTCCCCTTCCCCACCGCCCTCGTGGGGTCCGGCCCCAGCGAGGAGACCCCCGCGCCGCCGCCCGCGGCCTCCATGGACCCCCCGGCCGAAGACATGCTGGTGGCCATCCGGCGCGGGGTGCGGCTGCGCAGGACCGTCACCAACGACAGGTCGGCCCCGCGGATATCGTGATGCTGCCCCGTGCCCGCCGTGGCCCATGGACCCCGGGGACAGCCCTGCCTCCCCAGGAGCCCCCACCCGCCGGCGCCCGCTGCCCTTCCCTCTCTGCTGCCCCTGCTTCCTGCCCCTCTGTCTGTCTGCTCCTGCCCTGCCCTCTCCCTACGTCCCTCCTTCACTTGCGCTCTCTCTGGTCCTCTTTCTCCTCTTTTTCTCCTTTTCTCCTCTTCTTTTTCCTATTTTTCCTGCTTTTGTTCCTTTGGCTTTTATTTTTTGTTCTTGTATGTCACTTTCCCTTCTCTTTTTTTATTTTCTTCATTTTCCCATTTTCCTCCTTTTCTTCTTCTTGTCCTCTTTTTCTCCTTTTCTCCTCCTCTTTTTCCTATTTTTTCTGCTTTCTTTCCTTTGGCTTTTTTCTTTTGTTCTTGTATGTCACTTTTCCTTCTCTTTTCTTATTTTCTTCATTTTCCCATTTTTCTTCTTTTCCTCTTCTTGTCCTCTTTTCCTTTCTTTTTAGCACTTTTTCTTTTCCTTTTTAACACTTCTTTTTCCCATTTCTTTTTAACTCTTCTTTTTTTCATTTCTTTTTAACTCTCTTTCTTTTCATTTCTTTTTAACTCTTTTTCTCCTCCCTTCTATTTTCCTCTTTTTTTTCCTTTCCTTTTTTTCACCTCTTTCCCTTTGTTTCTCCGTTCCCCTCTGGCTTTCCCTCTCCTCTGTGTTTTCTGTCCCCGGGCGCAGGCGGGTGGCCCCAGCCGCAGCAGGAGAGGATGGTGCCAGCAGGGCACCGTGGAGCACCAGGAGCACCAGGAGTGGGGGGCCCTGGCCCCATTCCCCCCAGCTGCCTGCTTGGGGCCAGCACAGCTCAGCCTCATTCCAGGGGGGCAGAAGCAACGGGCTGGGGGTGCAGGGGGGGAAGAAGAAGTGGGGGACATGTGAGAGGGTGGGGGGGCTGGGGGTAGAGGCACTGCAATCCCCTCTGTCTTGGGGGGACACCGGGGTGCAGGGACTGAGGGTGCTGAACCTCCACTTTGCCCTCCCTCACAAGGATCACTTGGGACCCCCTGCAAACCCCTTCCCCTCGCTCAGCACCCCCAGACCCCGTGCAGACCCCGCTCAGAGGCGGGTCCAGGCACGGGGGGTTTGGCTCAGAGCCCCAGGCAAAGCAGCTTTCTGCCGGCGGCTGGAGGAAAGCACAACCCCGGGCCCTGCTGTACATAGCCCCGCGCCCGCTGTCCGTCGCACCGCAGCCCCTCAGCCCTCCCCCTTAGGAATAACAATTTAGTTCTCTGCCTTCCCCTTCTCCTGCCCAGAACCGCTGAGGCCAAGTGACAAATGTTTGGGTTTGAGGGAGGGGGGGTCTCTTATTTTGTACAGAAAACAAAAATGCTTTGGAAAAGAAAAAAAAACTGACCTGTCTTTCGACTGAAGTAACTTTTCTGGTGCTGTTGTTAACTTGGTCCTTATTCTTTTCTTTTTTTTTAATTTATTTTTTCCCCTCGTGTTCCCGCCTCTGCCGCCGCTTCCCCTCTCCCTGTCCCTCTGCCACGTTTCTTTCTCTTTCTTTCATTCCGTCTTCTCTTTTAATTTTTTTTTTTCTGGTGGTAATTCCCCTCTTTCCCCCCCTCCCCCGTTTTCCATAGTCACTGCTACAAGTAACGAATGCACTGTGAAGATTCCAGTATTAATAAAGGTTGTACTGTAATTAATAGCCTTGCCTGTGCTCCTGTGGATTTTCTGCTTCTCTGGGGTCACCCCAGGAATGGGGAACACGTGAGAAGGTACCACCACCCCTTTGGGTTCCCATGGCTTGAGGGGGTGGGTGTTTTGGGCTGTGGAGGACTGCAGCAACCCCGTGGTCAGGCTGATGGGTGACGCTGGGATGCAGAGGAACATCCTGCTGCCCGTGCCCTCCAGAAGAGGGGGTGCAGGCGGTGCCCCCCACCCCGCCCAGCCCAGCGGCTCCCGCAGCGTTCCCGCCTCCCGGATTGCCAAACCTGGCTGGGGCAGCAGAGCCGGCTGTGGGAGCTCAGGGGATGGAGGGGCTCAGCGTGGGCAGTGTCCTGCTGGCCGGCTGCGACGGGGGGCTGGGCCTGGGGCTGCTCAAGGGGCTGCTGGAGCAGCCCAGCCCACCCCGGCGCATCTTCGCTGCTTGCCTGGACCCCCAGGGCAAGGTAGGGAGGGCACGGGCACAGGGGGGACAGGAGGGAGCCAGCGCTGGGATGGGTGCCCAGGGGTGCCACGGTCCCACCTGGAACTGGGATGCTGAGTGTGGGTGAATGGTATGGAAAAATACATGTATATACATAGGGGTGTGTGTGTACATTAGATATATATATATATATTAGATATAGATATAGATAGATATATAGATATATATATAGATATATATACACATGTATTTTTCCATACCATTAATATATAAATAATAATATATATATAAATAAAAAAATAGATATAGAATAAATAAATATATAAAAATATATAAATAAACATATATGTATTAAATATTATAAATACCTGTGTATGTATTAAATATGCATGTCTTTATTTTACCTCTCTTGGCACAGGTGTGTGCATGGTAGGGTGTACGGGGGGGTTGCTGGGAGTGCAGGGGGGGTTTTGAGAGTGCAGGGGGGTTGCTGGGAGTGCCAGGGGGGTTTTTGAGAGTGCAGGGGGGTTGCTGGCAGCCCCGGGCCGGGGCCGTCGCTGCGGGGAGCTCTGGAGCCGCCGGGCTCAGCCAGGCGCGGAGCAGCAGCGGCTCGCCCCAGATCGCTCCCCCTGGACCTTGCTGTGACCTGCCGGCTGTGACACGAGGGGCCCCCCTCTTCCCACCCGGCACGGTGCAGCCCCCCCGTTCCGTGAGCTTCCCCGGGTGACCCCCTCCCCCGTTTTCTCCACCTAGGCTGTTAACGAGGTGGCTTTGGGCTTTCCCAACGTCGTGATCCTGCCTCTAGGTAAGTGCTGGGGCGGGAAAGGGATGAAGCGTCTCAGGATTTAATTGCAGCCGTGGGTGGCTCCGGGAAATGCCACCAAGCAGGTGGGTCCCTTGGTTTGGCTCAGCTCAACCAGGTCACTGATGGGACCAGGAGGATGCTCAGTGGCTGGGAGTTGCCTCCTGCCACGTCCTACAGCATCTTGCCAGGATCAGGGCCACCGGCCTGTCCCCAAGCCCTCCTGTCCCCTTGCAGATGTGACAGATCCCAACAGCATCAAGGCAGCAGTCAGGAGGGTGCGGGCAGAGGTGGGAAGTGCTGGCCTCAACCTCCTGATCAACGACACCGGCACCACGCGCCGCAGCACCTTGGCCACCGAGACAGCAGAGAACATGAGCCTGGTCTACACCACCAACACCATCGGGCCCCTGCAGACAAGCCAGGTGAGGACACACCGACCCCCGCCCCAAACACTGGCAACAGGGAGGAGGAGGATGGTGGTGCCTGAGGTCCCATCCCCTGCAGGCCTTCCTGCCCCTGCTGAAGGAGGCGGCTGAGGCCGCAGGGCAGCGTGAGATGAGCTGCAGCAGAGCTGCCATCATCAACATCTCCAGCATCCTGGGCTCCATCGAGGTTGCAGAGGCTTGGCAGGAGAGGCAGGACATCTGCTACCGCTGCAGCAAGGTACTGCCCCTGGGGGATGGGAGGAGTTGGGGGTCATCTCCTCTGGGGCTCCCCCCCGGCCCTGGCATTGCCAGATCATGGTGCTAAGGAGGGAATTTGTCCTCCAGGCTGCTCTGAACATGCTCACCAAGTGCCTGGCCCTGGAGTACGGGAGCAGCGGGATCCTCTGCGTGTCTGTGGATCCCGGACATGTGACACCTCCCTTGGAACAGGGGATGGTGAGTGATGGGAGGTGCATGGAGCCCTGGCTCAGCAAGGTCCCACGGGCATCCATTCCTGGGGGATCCTTTCCCAGGAGCATCCCTTCCCAAGGCCACCCCTTCCCATGAACATCCCTTCTCAGGGATGTCCCTTCCCAGAAACATTCCTTCCCACAGACATCCCTTCCCATGGGCACATCCCTTCTTCATAGCGTATTTCTTCCTATGGACATCCCTTTCCCATGAGCATCCCTTCCTGAGGCATCCTTGACCATGGACATCCCTTCCCTGGGCACCCACATCTGGGTGCAGGTCCCATGAGCATCCCTTCCTGAGGCATCCTTGACCATGGACATCCCTTCCACATCTGTGCAGTCCCTTGGTCCCACAGTGGCTGTGCCACCACAGCAAAGAGACAATTCCAGGCGCTCCCCCCAAACCATCCAATTTCTTCCCAATTTTTTATTTCCTTTCCCGTCCTGATGGTGTGTCAGCAGAGGGCACCCTGGTCCTGCACTCAGCTGTCCCTTTCCCCGCTCTGGCTGTCCCTTACCCTGCTCTGGCTGACATCCCTCTTTTAATTAGGGATGAAGAAATTAACCTCCATCCTTACAGCACTCAAATGAGGGACAATCAATTTGTGCAAAGCCGCATTCCTTGGCTGCTGGAGCATCTCCAACTGCTCCCAAACCAGCCCAGCCAGAGCTGGCATTCCGCCATACCATGGGTGGGATTGGGGGTGTTGGGATGGGGAATCTTGGCTCACTTTTCCCTTGCCCTCGGGTGTGACAGGGCCCGGTGACGCTGGAGGAGAGCGTGCGGGGCGTCCTGCAGCTGCTGGCCCAGCTCTCAGCCAGCAGCAATGGCACCTTCTGGGACTGGAGAGGGCAGAGGCTGCCCTGGTGAGAGCAGCATCTGCCCACTGAGCTCAAATAATTAAAGTGAATTAATTGCCATTTCCAGGCTCACTCTGATTTGCAGGGGGGCAGGATGGGCAGAGAAATAAAAACAGGGATGCACAGGTTGGGGGATGAGAGCTGGATTTGCTGCCCCCCTGGCCTGGGATGGTGATTTGTGCCAGGCAGCATAAGGAAGGATGCCCCAAGTGTGTTCCTGAATCCAAGGTATCCCCTGGGGCCAGGAGAATGCCCTGGCTATCCTCACTCTAGGACCCCAAGCCATACTGCTCATGGGGACATCCCAGACAGCCCCAACCTCAGCCTTCTCCTGCTGGGCCTGCCCACCCCAAAACCAGCTGCCCTTTCCATGCCCACCCCAAAAATGCTGCCAGGCATTTTTCTTGCTGATTCAAGGTCAGCAAAAGTTCTTCCTGTTCCAGCAGCTGGGGGCTTTCACAGCAGGAGATCTCCCAAGTCTCAGCACAAGCCTAAAGATGTATTTTGAGACCTGGGCAGGGCGTCCTGGGCTGACCTTCCCTAAATCCATCCCTCATGGCACACCAGGAGATAATGTAAACAAGCTCCCATTCCTGATCCTGTGAGTGCTTTCCTGTAGAGGCTCTCAGCTGTCGTTTTTGAAGCCATCTCTCAAAAGAGAGATCAGAAGAAAATGCACAATATCTCAAGTGGGCTGGACACACAGCCCACTGCTGTGGGGATGCTCTGGGAAGCCTGGTAGGGGTCACTTTGCAGGGACAGCTTCAGTTTCCCCACAGTGGAGGAGGATGAAGGATCATTCCCACCTTTGGCACGAGGAAATGGGAGGTTGGGCTCAGCTCCAAGGGCTGAGGCAGCCCAGGTGGGTCCCTGGACCACACAGGGGCTCAGTTAAAGCCAGCAGGGATGGGAGAGAGGGTCCCTTAGTTAAAGCTCTTATCAAGCAGCGGATCTACTGGTGGGTTTTATATGAGCTCTGCGTGGGCTTTATATAAACAGGAATCACCACTAAGCATGAAGGGAGGAGGAAAAGGAGGAGGAGGAGGAGGAGAAGGAAGACGTTGCTTCACTCATGCTGCAGTGCCCATTGACTCACGAGCCTAAGCCATGAATACACCAATTAAGGTCTCTAATAGCTGAGGAGGGTAATTAACTGAGCTGTAAAGGGGGGAGGCAGCCAGGCAGCCCCAGTGTGCTGCCTGCACCACACCACCAAGCACAACAAACCAGTCCAGATGTTTCCTGGCTGGGGAAGCAGCCGGGGCTGACGGAGGCAGCTTGGCAGGGGTCCCTTGATCAGAGTGAGTGTCTCCCCCACAGCGGTGAGGGAGGTGGCTGACACCCCAAAAGAGGAGGCAGTGGAGGCAGTGGGGCTCTCTTTGCTGGTCCTTTATTTCGGGTAAGGCTGGAGGATCCCAGGACCCAGTCGGAAGCTGAGCTGCAATGCTACAGAATTAACTGGTGTTTAATCAAAGCTGAGGAAAAAATACAAACGGAGAGAAACGGGGTGATGCCCTCACCTGCCTGTGGGCAGGGAGGGCTGTGTGTCCCCCCAACAGCTGCCTGCCACAGGGGGCTGTGTCTGAGCCCACACCCATGCAAAGGGTGGCAGACATTTCGGGTGGACAAGATCCCACAGCCATAAACAGTCCCACAGTTCTGGAAAGGGTCGTGTTTGGTCCTGGAAGGAGTGGCATTTGTCCCACCTTTGCAGCTTCCTTAGGAACCCACCACGGGGCTCTGGGAGGAGCAGAACAGAGGCAGCATCCAAGGCTCCAGGGCAAGGAGGTGTCCAGTGAGGGGATGAGTGAAGGATCTTCCACAGTGTTAGGTGGACTCCCACCGACCTGAACAGAGGGAACAGGTTCCATGGTGTGGGACAGGGTGCCCCTGTGTGGCACCTGCGTTGCCCGAGGTCGGGCCCCCCAGCCTGACCCCCAACTCACAGGGCACCCCGTAGAGCATCCGCATGACCTTGAGGCAGTTGTCCAGCAGTGCCTTGGGGCGCACAGCCTTGCTCCGGCTCTCAGCGCCCGCGCTGTGGATCAGCTTCACCAGATCGGCCACCACAGTTTCCACGTCTGTCTGCAGTGGCAGATCACCAGGAGGTCACCAAGGTCCCCCAAGGGACAGCGGGGTGCAAAAGATGCAGCTGTTGCATTGGCCGGGAATCGAACCCGGGCCTCCCGCGTGGCAGGCGAGAATTCTACCACTGAACCACCAATGCCAGATGTGTCACATCCCCGCCCTCCCCCGCACTCCCAAACCCCGCGGGCCGCGGCAGCACCCACGGGCCCTGGCAGCTCTCCACACACAGCAAATCACCCCAGCACAGCTCTCACAACGCACCCCACACCGTGCAACACCCCCTCACAAAACCTGCACCAAGGAGGCCTCCTCAGAGCCCTCCGCGTTAACCCTCTCCTCACACAACCCAGCAAAGCTCCCGCTCTGCACCCAGGGGCTGCAGAACCTGCCCCGTGCCACAGGACAACCCAGCCACGCTTCGGGTTCACATTGGTCACCCAGCTGTGGCAGGCCACCCACATCCAGCACACAAACACTGTCCCCTCTTGGATGTGGCAGCAACCCCAGGCCCAGGCAGGTCTGACTGCCCTGGGCCTCGCTGCCACCGAGCCAAAGACCCTTGTCACTGCCACCAAACCAGAAACCCTCACTGTCAGTGAGCCATGGACTGTCACTGCCCATAAGGCAGGGTCTCTCTCTGCCACCAAGTCCCTCAGGTATCACCAATGTGCCCTGGCTTTGTTCCACAGGCAATGACACTCTTCACATCCACACAGAGGCAAAGATGTGCCAGAGAGGCGTGTAATCCCTCCAGGCACCCAGGGGAGTCCCCATGGTCCCCCCAGAGACACTGGGTGCCAAAAAATACAACTGATGCATTGGCCGGGAATCGAACCCGGGCCTCCCGCGTGGCAGGCGAGAATTCTACCACTGAACCACCAATGCCAGATGTGCTGAGTGTCTGGACCCTCCCCACACGGCCCCAGCGCCCCAAATCCAGCAGAGTGAACCCAACGCGGGCAGGCTCTGCTGGCTGTGAGCACCGCACACACAGACACTCACAAGGGCACCCCAACACCCAACACCCAGCTCTGAGACCGCGGCTCCAGCCCGTGGAACAGCCTCTTCTGCTGCCTCACCAGCAAGGAGGGCTTCTCAGAGCCCTCAGAGTTAACCCTCCCATGAGACAGCCCAGCAAAGCTCCCTCTCTCCACAGAGGGGCTGCAGAACCTGTCTGTGGCACAGGACAACCCAGCCACACTTTGGGTTCACATTGGTCACCCAGCTGTGACAGACCACACACATCCAGTGCCCAAAAACCTCTGCCTTGGGGCATGGCAGCACCTCCCAGCCACAGGTGATCCATGGCTGCAAGGAGCCCAGGTCAGGTGGAGAGGCTGGGGGCTGCAGAGCTGAAAGTCAGGACACTGGGCTGCACTGATGAGGAACCAAACCCTGGCTTTTGAGGGGGAGCACAATGATCATCCCACTGAACCACACATGCCAGATGTGGAACTGCCCACAGCTGCCATCTGCCTCCAGGCCTGGGCACCCTTGACATGAAGCAGCATCTCCCACTGCTCCTAAGCCAGGCACCTTCACTGACACCTACACAGCACCCCTTGCTGTCATTGAGCCAGTGTCCCTCCCTGCCACCCAGCCGCGCTGGGCATTCACCAAACCAGCTCCTCTTTCTGCTCCCCGGTGCCATCAGGCCAATACTCACTGCAGGCAGAGCTGCTGCTGCCACCCCGGGGCCTGAGCACCCACACAAAGTACAGAGTCGACCGCTGGGGGGATGCAGAGGAAGCACCCTTACAGAGATGCCCAAGGGAGCACCCACGGGAGCACCTCTGGACCAGCCCATGGGCACCCTGGCAGCCGCCCAGAAGGGACAGCAGGGTGCAAAAGATGCAGCTGTTGCATTGGCCGGGAATCGAACCCGGGCCTCCCGCGTGGCAGGCGAGAATTCTACCACTGAACCACCAATGCCAGATGTGTCACATCCCCGCCCTCCCCCGCACTCCCAAACCCCGCGGGCCGCAGCAGCACCCACGGGCCCTGGCAGCTCTCCACACACAGCAAATCACCCCAGCACAGCTCTCACAACGCACCCCACACCATGGAACACCCCCTCACATCTCCTGCACCAAGGAGGCCTCCTCAGAGCCCTCCGCGTTAACCCTCTCCTCACACAACCCAGCAAAGCTCCCGCTCTGCACCCAGGGGCTGCAGAACCTGCCCCGTGCCACAGGACAACCCAGCCACGCTTCGGGTTCACATTGGTCACCCAGCTGTGGCAGGCCACCCACATCCAGCACACAAACGCAGCTGTCTCGGGGTGCAGCAGCTCTATCGAGGCAGCAGAAGCTTAGGCAGGGAGGCAGAACCATCACCGGGAAAACAGAGATGAATTCACAGGCACATTCTGCCTGGTCACACGCAACAGCCGGCCCTGGTAGTGCCACCCCGTGACGGAGGTCGATGTGTGTGACAGTCCCCAGGTGCTCCCCAGGTGAGCAGGTGCCCCAAGAGGGACGGGTTGCAGGCAAGAAAAAAATACAGCTGTTGCATTGGCCGGGAATCGAACCCGGGCCTCCCGCGTGGCAGGCGAGAATTCTACCACTGAACCACCAATGCCAGATGTGCAGCGCTGCTGAGGCACCGCCCCACCACCCGCACCCCGCTCCCAACTTCTGTCCTGGCATCCTGTCCCTGTCAGGCCCTCCAGAGAACCCCCTCGCAGGGAAAACGCCCGTGGCCGTGTCTCCCCTCCCGGTGCCCGTGGCTCAGTGTGTGCCCCCAGCACAAGAGGCCGGGGTGCCGGGGGGACCCTCACCTGCCGGTACTTGCTGTACTCCTCGCCCAGGGCATCAAAGAGCTGGCACAGCTCCTGGGTGTACTTCCAGGATGGGTGCTTCTCTGGCAGCACCTCGCGGATCCGCAGCACGGCCTGGGAGCTGACATGGAACCAGAGGTACCGCAGCGCTGCCTCCGACACG